TTTCCACGTTCAAAAATTCCCCACGAAGCTCCAGATGCTTCAGAGATCCAAAAAAATCCAGTGAATCTTGAAATCCCAGAAAACTCCAAAAAATATATCATGTCCCTGTAGAGTCGCACGAGGTACTGTAGCTACACAGAACGGATTGAAGACCCTGAGATTTCCAAAAAAATATATATCCCGTTCCTGTGTTTTTATCRTAAAACTCTCAGATTCTGCCGAAGCCAGAAAATCAAATGTTATCCCGTCCTGTATCTGTAGATCCGTACGGTGCCTTGCTGTTTCATGGATCGAGTTCAAGGRTATACCTATTTATCTCTTTATAAGCAGTCAGAAGCTATATCGACTCTGAAAATTATCCTTTACCGGGTCGATCCGCCTATTACTTGGATTYATTCGTATTTATTCAAAAGGTCGGTTTCCGCCCCTGCTTTAAGATAGGTCCCATACTCATTCCGCATTTTGTTTTCGTATAATAATTCTAGTTTATCTACGAACGTACGTATTTGCTCAGTAGCCTATAATATCCCTTCTATTAACCATCCCCTATATCTGGTACTCCATTTATCCCATGATGGTGCATGCTTTCGGACGAACTTCCCCAGACAGTCATCAAAATATTTCCTCGGGTAGCCTTATCGTCTAAGGAGTCTTTTCAAGGTAAGTAGACCCATCCCTGCTAATTCCACGTCTGATGTCATTGTATATATTATGTGTAAACAGCACGTAATGACTGTTTTTTTATGTGGAACAAATGAATAGGAGTTGAAGTCCTGAATCGTTCTAAAGGTGAGTGCTTCCTTATCCCAGATCTCCTTAAAGTTTTTTTGGACTAACTGGGTCGTTACTTGTTTCCCTGATCCACTTTCATCTTCGTTCCCAAGAATTCCCACTCGCCATTTCCATTGTTCGTTCGTTCTAACGTCAGTGCTTTGTCGTAAGCTGGTTGGAATTTATTTATGACGTCCGATGTTTTTTTATCCATTCCTTTATCCTTTCCGTTACTCCAGACAAAAATGGATACATCGTCCATCAGTCGTGTGCCTTTAATGAGTTTTCTATATGACCCAAGGCTAGTCTGAAAGGAGTACTCATTGAAGGCACAGAGTATACAAGCCAAAGGTGGGCTTGTACTTTTTTCCATTGGAATTCCAGTCCTCTGTTTGACGAGTCTGTTGGCTGCTACGACATATGTATTCCGAAGCTCGAAGGTGATTAGACCTCGGATTTCTTCGAAGTTGACAGTCATTCAGTTGTCCTGCTCATTTTTCGGAGAGAACGAAGTCCCTTTTCCCCACCGTCTTACTTATAGTTTATCTTTCTCTTTTCTCATGTAGTAGCATAGGATCCAATCAAGTGTTATCAAAATAGAGTTATGAGGTAATTTACTAAACATTTCTTTAATATCAAATGCAACACATAATAGATAACCGTTCTTTTTTAATTCCGTCCACTTATTTACTTCCGTTATTTTTCGACTCAATTGATCGGTTGATTTCATGTTAAAATTCATGTTCTTTGGCAGCAAGAACAAGAGGTGGTTCAGGGTTTGCGCTACCCTGCTACCGGCTGATCTAGAGGGTTCAGAGAAGGAGGGGCTTATGGGGCGGAATTTACATGAGTCCTTATTTTTAGGAATAATGTAAGCGCGCCCACATTTACCTGTTCCATCCCATTTCCCGATCCTTGTTAAGTTTGTTTCTTTGAATTCTCTCTCGCATTTTACCAGTATTTCTGCTTCAGATCTCCATTCAACACAAAAGGTTTCGTTTCCCCAAAAAACGTCTTGCATTCCTTTCGCATAGATTTCAGGACACATAATTACAGTTTCTGTTGGGTTCTTATCTACTGCGGTTAGTACAAAACTCCTACCTATACGTTTCAGGAAGGACATGGAATCATAATCAAAATTACTTTCGCTCGGTGAGACTTTCAAACAAATTGCTATATCTTTCCTTGTCAGTGGTGTATCGATCCCCATATGTATTGACGCATCATTAATCTCGCTTAGTACTTTCGTTTACCTTCCCTTCTGATCCGGATAGGTAATATTCCTTGCATTCCTAACAAAGGCGTCTATTCCTTCCAAATTGCTTATTCTGCAAATCACATGTCCTTCCGTAGTAGGAAGGTTAAAATCTGCACATGTGCAAATTCCCACCGGACTCCGGGACATTATCCGATGGTTATGGAGGATATCAGCAACTGATCTGTTCTTTTTCCAGACCGTTCTGAGTTTCCTACACATGAAAACAGCTTCAGCGAGAGGAAAGCGGTTCATCAAATGATCCGCAATTATTCTTCTTATCGCTTTTTTACACAGTCTTTTGTCGTAGGTAACAGGTACGCAATGTTTTTTACGTGTACTAAACCCAAATTTTCTCCACATGACTCCTCCTAGTATATCTCTTAGGTTACTACGACATATTGCTTTGGAGAAGAGGTCTGTTGCTTGGAATAGGTTGAGTAATTCCTCTAGGGTACATTTATAAAGTTTTTTCTTTGCCCATGGATTTTTCAGGATTTTGTGCAGATTACCTTTTAGTTCCTTGTTACGTTTAAACAGAGTTCCAACTTTTAAAGCTCGAAGTCTGAAAACGGCTCCTTTTTCCAGTTCATCTTTCAAATCCGTCAGAGGTATGGAGGAAGAGGAATTAGTACTGATCGATAGGGTGCTCTGCCCAATTTCCCGTATCACCGCTTTTCAGTCAGGCACCCATATTTCACCACCTAAGGATGCTCTGTCCATTACCTTTAGATGCGGTTTTACATATATTTACTAAGTTAACGGATTCTAGAGTACCTGATTTAAAGATAATAGGCCTCTAGTTTGGGAATTTATTACATCTATGTTGTTTACGTTCTTTTCTGCCCTTCCGATTGGTTTTAATAGAGGTCCGTTTACGACATTTGGAATTTACTGAATTTACCGAGGGTGACCATCTTTTAATAAGAACCCTTTCTAGTTGGGGAGATCGTGAGCTGGTACAAAGAATATAGGGAGGGCGATATAATTTTTACAACCCTTATTACGTTGCCAGCTATATAATTTAGAGTTATTAGCACTATGTATATTATTAGTCCTATAGACATGCTCATTCCACTGCTCATGCAGAGATCTAGATGGCTGTCCTATATACGATGCGCGGCAACTTGGGTCTAGTAGGACATAAACACATGAAGAGGGGGTTTCCCATCTATCTAGGTCATTTTCGATCAGGTAAATCCAATTATCAAGGAATTTTGTTCCCCATTGGATTTCCCCTCTACGAACTAGGATTACAACGCATAGTCTCAATATTTTTTTTATAGCTAGTCTTAGATCTTTAATATCTCTCCCAGTTCTACCGATTAGCTGATGACGTAGACTTAAGTAGAAACGTAGATCATTCCATGCGTTACTCATCGGACGGATCCCGATATTCGCTTTGTGGTGTCTTCGGTGCGCGTGTCACGCTTGCAGGTTGTTCGCGAATAACAATTCCTCCTTGACGCGGTGTTCGCGGTACTTTGTAGAAGTGCATCACCCGAAGATCAATCAGCTCGTCAACTGCTTCCGGGCGTCCTCGGTAAGTCATTCCCCATTCTCTGCACATCTCCTGGATGGTTGGAACGCTCTTCTTGTTTAGGAATTTCCTTATCTGTTTCTTGAAGGCGACCTCTGTTTTACTGTCAACATCCACCAATGCTCCTTCCCACAAGGTGGATTCATGTCGAGTCTTGATTCTCCCCTTTGTTGCTTATAAGTCGGTTTGGTCATCCCTTTCTTGCACCACACGTGCCACCGGGTCTTCCGCACTCGGTCTTCCGCACTCGGTCTTCCCATCTTGGCCGGAGTACCAACTGGGCTTGCATGTGTTCCCGATGTCTGTCCTTGCTGGCGTTTGCGCTTCTCCAGTCTTTCTTCTTGAGTCTCCTCCTCCTCTTCTTCATCCTCTGATGATCCAGGTTCTGGCGTAGCCATCTTTGCTTTCGCTTTAACTACTCTCTCAGTTATCATTACTCCCTTCAGCCTGTTTTCCAATCTTCTCTCGAAATCCAACTCCACCGCCTCCTTCTGGTTTGCTAGCATCTTTTCGAACTCCCAGTTTCTCTTTGCTTCCTTTAACTCTTTCGCCTTTTTCGTTTCTAACGCCAACCTATTCGCTTCTTCCCTCGCTGCTTTCTCCGCCTCCGCCTTCTTTCTCTTCTCTTTTGCTTCCTTCTTTTGCTGGCGTTCCTCCTCTTCCTTCTTCGCTTGTCTCTTCACGAAGGCCGCCATGCTCTTCAAGGATTCCTCTACATCTTTGCTTAGTACGACCGTTTTTTCCGTCTCTACGTATGCATTGGAGCTACTCGATCCTTCGTTCATATGTGGCCCTTGGTTGTGAATTTGTACACCTTGATTATGTTGCCTCGACGCCTGATATTCTTGAGAAATATGTCCGAAGAGTCCGCAGTTGTAACATTTAGGACCCTTTCGTTGCCAGCCTCCTCCTCCACTCCCATTGTTGTTCCAGTTGCCACCTCCTCCGCTATTCCAATTTGCGCCATTTCCGTTGTTCCATCCCCCTCCGTTGCCATTGTTCCATCCTCCTGGTCCTCCCATACTCCCGTTGTTCCATCCACCTAAGCCTCCACCGTTCCCATTATTCCAACCTCCCATTCCATCAGCATTCCATTCGCCTTGACCGCCTTGTCCTCCGTTCCAGCTACCTCCATTGCCTTGAGGTGGGCCGGGTAGCCCTGTTCCGAAGTTGAAGCCACCGTTGCCGCCGCCTCCGTTCCTCTGTCAGTCTTCGTTGATCTTGCTAAATCTAATACTAAAACTACAGGGCCACCGAACCAGGTGATCTCCTCCTGGCCGGTTGCCGCTGCCTTTACCAATTGGAAAGGTTGGCAAGAGGTCGACGACAGCATAAGCTGGAATCAACCGAGTGCATCACACAAGTATGCTGCAAGTAGCGACACACCAGAGTATGTGAAACTCGGAAATGAAAGGACTCTTCAAAAAATATACGAGTAGAGCCAAGAGTGTCGAACCATAGCCTAATCTGCTCAACATAGATAGGAAGAAAAAGGTCCGCGAAGAGTAGATATGGTGTCGTCTGGCTTCCCTCTATCAGTCCGGTCTCATCAGGAGGGTAAACAAGTCCGAGGTAAGTTGGAAAGTAACTATGCTACTTAAATACTGGCTCGTTACCCGAAAATTTCGCCGCGTGACAATGCTCAAAGTATCGTTGCGAGTAAAACTTCCCTAAGTTCCTTAGAAAAAAACAATTTGCTAATTTACCCTGCTACGTAAACTTGAAACGTTTGATTCTCAGAAAAAATCCGCAGTATCTGGCCCAGGAATCTCCTTCCTGTCCTTCAGAGGCCAGATACCCTACAAGTGGATTTACCCTGCCTTGAAAATCGTAAAACATTTCGCGGTCGCGTAACTCCTTCGCGCGATTTAATTTCCACGTTCAAAAATTCCCCACGAAGCTCCAGATGCTTCAGAGATCCAAAAAAATCCAGTGAATCTTGAAATCCCAGAAAACTCCAAAAAATA